CACAGAGTCTAGCAAAAATCTCAGCATATTTATTTCAACAAGGATATTCTATGTGTGGTGACCCTCATGAACCAGTATGACACAATAATTTTGTTTTCTGTTTCAACACCTGAAGAGGGACAGTTTAGGGAGAGAGAGAAGATTTTCATTCCATAGGGCTAAGCTATGTAAGCATCTTTGAGGACCTAAAAGGGAGTGTGAAAGTTAAGGTACCTATCATTCTATCTGTTCTCTGTCTCATGTCTTCATGTCTAAAAAGATTAATTTTAGGAATATTTGCAGAGGTACCACTATCTAAAAATGAGTAAAATTATGCAGAATGGCTTCTCACATCTATTTTTTTCTTTCTTTTCCTCCATGTGATATTAAAGAATACAAATCTTTTGGTACAGTGGTTCCCAAAATGTGGTTCTCTACATCAGCAGCATCAGCATCACCTGGGAACTTGTTATAAATGCAAATTCTCAGACACTACCCAGATCTACTGAATCAGCAATCCTGTGGAGACTTCACCCATCTAAAACTGAACAAACACTCTAAATGCTGTTGGTATGAACTTTATTTTTGACTCAAACATCTTTAATAAATATAGGTAAGAACTTTAAAGGGATATAGGTCTACAAAGCCTTCTAGAGTGCCAAAGAAGTAAACCTGAGCCCACTCCAATCATAAGAGAGTCAAAACAGCTGTTTGACTCTGGGCAGCACTCCAGCACAAGGTTGAGCCTTTCAGAAACATGGGAGCAGCAACAGCACTGTCTTGTTCTCCACCATCACCATCATCATCACCATCTATTGGGTTACAATACATAGTCTCCAGACCTTAAGCTAGGTGGGTCACCTAACTTTTTCTTATGATAAATTTAGGAGGATTTAAAATTCCTAATTTTTATCTCCACTTTACATATGGCACAATCTAGCTTTAAGGAAATTAAGTCATTTATCCCAACGTTTACATATGTAATAGGAAGGAGAACAGATCTGAATCAAGCAGTGTAACTGCCGAGTCACGATTCTGTAGTGCTGTCTCAGAGCTCCTTTGAGTTAAGGGTGTTCTCATCATTGATTAAAGAAAAGGAATTACATGGATCTGCAGAAACCATGGAGGGTGATCAAGGAAGGACATAAAAAGGGTGATCAAGGAAGGACATAAAAAATTTGAAGGAAAGGGCTGTGGATCTGGGAAAAAGAATGATGTCAGTCATACATAGAAGTAGAATCTTGGATGGGGTAAAAACCATATATAGATGAATCACAGAGTAAGAATCAAGGGGAATAAATAATGTGAATGGATGAGTTCTCTGACAATTTCAAAGCTGAATATAAAAAAGAAGTGGCAGACATCGGGTGCTAGGGGTCACACATACCAACATCTATACAATTGTCTAAAAGTTTCCTTCCAATGACACTGGCTCCAGGAAAAGACAATCCTGTTTTCATCCCCCTTATAAATACAGGTTTTGTTCCTCATTGCTTCTTTCAAAGCAAGAAACTGTAGTATATTTATACAATGAAATATTACTCAGCCTCAAAGAGGAATGAAATTATGGCATTGGCAGGTAAATGGAGAATATCATGCTAAGTAAAGTAAGCCAATCCCCCAAAACCAAAGGCCAAATGTTTTCTCTGATAAGTGGATACCGACCCATAATTTGGGGGGCAAGGGAAGAATGGAGGAACTTTGGATTGGACAGAAGAGAGGGGGAGAAGGGGAAGGGGTGTGTGTCAGGGAAAGATGGTGGAATGAGATGCACATTATTATCCTATGTATGAGTATGACTCTACATTATGTACAACCAGAGAAATGAAAAGTTGCATCTCATTTGTGTAAAAAAAAATAATTTTTTTTAAAAAAAGCAATATGTTAAAGAAGAAAAAAATATATTATCTTGAATCAGATAGATGTGGGTTTGAAACTCTGTTCTAAGCCAATAGGGAACTTTGGGTGTTTTTTTTTTATTGTCTCTGAACTTTAATTGTTTGAATATATGTGTGTGTATAAAAGTTTTAATATACATATAAAATTATTTACATCTACTTAATAGTAATATGATAATTAAACAAGACAATAAATAGCACTTGACAATGTAGCTCTTTTCCAACCCTTAATATTATGTTAACTTAATTTTCACTAGCACTGCCACGGTATGAAGGTAGGTATAATAAGATCTAACGGAGCTCTGGTTTTAACCTTATTGCAAAGGCCATGTTTTGTAGCTTAAAAGTACACAGGTAAATAAGAAAATAAATAAAATAAAGAAGAAAGTCTGTGTGTCAGCTCAGATGTAAATAAAAACTCTTATAGTAGTTCTTAAAAAATTATAATGGAAGATTCCTTTCTATTAGAAAGTGCTTTAAATTTGACTCCAGATCTGCTTGGCTCTCAACTGCTCCCTGAATTATGTGTGATCTTGAGCAAAAAACCTACACTTAATGGTTTCTTTTCTCATCTCTTCCTCACCAAGAAATATAATAGTCAGATCATTGAATTTTATTTAGTATAGGACAATGCAAAATATCTATTGTGGTCTCTCTAGGATCCTTCCAATGACAATAAAAGCTAAAAAGATACTAAAATTGTATTAAAAAATCTCAGAGTTAAGCAGGATTTTTAAAGCATAGAACATTATAAATAAATATATGAATGAAATACAATAAATACCAAGAAAGAAAAATCACAAGATAGTGTTAATAACAGGCCATTAGATAAAATTTGTTCTGAAGAGCCTTAGTTATCACTTCTCCCTCTACCACTAAATCAGGTTTAAAAAATTCTCCTTTTGAGGTAGGAGTGTGTGTGTTTGTACATGTGTGTACCTGTACGTGCTCCAAGGGAGCTGATAAATTAACACCTGGATGTGTTTACATATTTCTAGTTACATATCTTATTAAATGTGATTCCAGAGATCTAAACCCTGGTGTCTCTCATTAGAGAGCTCATGCACTCTTCACTAAAGTACAAGGAAAGTGTGCTATGCTTGGACGGTGATTGGGACTTTGCAAACCAGTAGACACACCTTTTATTAGGAATAAAATGAAGTTGTCAGCCATTGAAAATGGACCAAGATAGCAGCCACCTGACTAAACCACTCTTGCATCAGCCAGTCTCTGATGTATTTTATTCTAGCTTCAATCTATTAATCAGACGATCTGGAAGAGCAATAATTTAAACACGGCAATAATCAATTCCATAACACATTAATAGAAGCTACAGTCAAACTTTGCCACACCACTGACTGCACTGGAATCCTGACAGGAGCCCTAGGGCCATGCCTAATTTGCATTAAATTTACATAAAATTGTAAATCAAGAATACACGAACACAGCCCTAATATTTGTTAGCGTTTAGATCTTTCCTGATAGATGGATTAAAACTGCTGGTGGTTTGACTTTACTTTGCAAAAAAACTTTGCAGCTGATCAGCTTTGTTTTCATTTTGCAATTATGAGAAAAGGGACTCAAGGGAGCTATCCTTAAGGAGCATGCATATGCCATTCAGGGTTTGCATTCTGTAAAACCCCGACTCTTATGCCTGTGGAAACCCCAGTCTCAAAGCAAATTGTCCCTAATGACTTTGAAGTTCCTTGTCAGTGGACTTACTCACAAGTAACTTGTTATTTAGTGAAGATACAAATCACACAAAGCTGGACCGCTGATATCAAGGCCTGCGGGGACCATTATTGTTCTAAAATATTTTTTCCTGTCATGAAAACAGATAATTAATGAAAAAAATTAATTAGGACAAGGACAGGTAAAACCCAACTCTCTTAAGTTTGGTGAAACACAGGTACCTGGCAGGGTAGTAAAGTGAACTTCCTGTGGTTCTAAGCACTCTGTATGTTCGTGCATTCCTATTTTACCTTTTTATTTTAATAGCTGTAAGTTTTCCTGTGTGTTTTTATATTCTGAACTAGGAGAAACCCTTCTTGTCAAAGGTACTGGCTCACAGTGTCAAGGGTACTTCTCTATTCTCTTTAGCCCTCTCACTTAAAATCCATTTTGTAGAAGGAAACCAGATACTTAAGGGCAATCCTGCATTTGGCAATTTTTCCTTTTTAGAAAGAATTTTGTAAATATTTTATATATCATGCTTATTCTCCAACTGCATCTCTTCCTTACCACCTTACATTCCACTCTTTTCTTACCTTGCACGATCAAGTAAACTTGGGAGGTCTTGGGCTCATGCTGTGTCTGAACGGAGCATGTGTAGGAACCCTCATCATAGACATCCACCTTCTGGATGCGGAGGCTGTATTCCAGAGAGTGGCGTTTCTCCAGCTCAACCCGGGGATCCAGAGACCACTTGTCATGTCCAGCAAAAATGATACCAGAACGGTTCAACCAGGCCACCTTGGAGTTCTTGTCTTCTACAACACATCTGACAGAGCAGAGTAATAATGTTAGTGGCTTAACCATAACTGTAACTGCTTTCGTTCTCTGCATGATTTGACTCAACAAGATCAATCAAGAAAAATAATTATATGCATAATGAATCACTACCATGACATTTCTTGGAGTCTTTAGTAACTTCACTGTTTCCTTTAAGATCTAATTACCATCCAATGGACGAATGTCATTATATTAGATTTGGTTCAGCAATAAACAATCTAAGTATTAGTAATTCAGGCCAATAACATTAAATGAGTATTGACTTCCCACTGGATTACCTTCAACTTGTTTATGAAAAGGTCATTCATTCACACAGAACTCCATTTGCTCAAGTATTTTTGAGAATTATACAATGATATCATGTCACGTTTGCTCCATCTTGTATTCTTTCCTAAGTATTTCATAAAATCTTGCATGATACTAGGCTCAAGTTATGCTCCACTGCTGCAGGAACAAGACTAGATTTCAGAGTTCACTACTGACCCTTACGAATTTGCAATACACTCCAAGAAATAAGAAGTGTGTAAGTCCAAGGATAAGTGCATTCGTGTTGTATCAGGAAAATCAACTCGGGGCTGGGGATGTGGCTCAAGCCATAGCACGCTCACCTGGCATGCGTGCGGCCCGGGTTCGATCCTCAGCACCACATACAAACAAAGACGTTGTGTCCCCGGAGAACTAAAAAATAAATATTAAAAAAAATCCCCCCCCCCCCCCCCCCCCTAAAAAAAAAAAAAAAAAGAAAATCAACGCAAGCATCATCTGGCCCAAGTCTAGTTCTAGCTGCTGAGAGCAGCAGGTTATCTAATGACAAGGAACTTTTCTCCCAGCATTTCTGGTCGAATTGAATGAATGCAGTTTTTCATGGGAGATGAAGAAACAATTTTGTAAGTCATTCCAAAGAAGATGAAGGATAAATGTTTGTCAAAATGATTTTTTTTTTTTTTTTTTTTTTTTTTTAGTAAACTGAAATTATCCCTTTTGGAAACTCCAAAGAAGGGGGCAAAGAACACAGGTTAGCAGAGAAGGGATAATCACTTCATGGTGAATAAAGTTCTTTCTTTCAATTTTCCAGCAGAAAATCTGACAATGAAAAAAAATCAAACAAGCAATAAATGAATTAAAAAAAAGTGAGGAAGAAAGAAAAAGTCTCTCTCTGTACCCCTTAGCAAGATTTATGATTGTCCCACAGAAAGATGGTTCCAGACCTTGTTCACAGCTATACAGCCAGCTTCTTGACACTTTGGGGTGTGAAGGAATGGACAGAAAGAGTCAAGAGTATGATGGCAGAACAATTAAAACACCATATTCCCCTGTGTTTCCCAAATCAAGTCAAATTCAAATTCTTTTCTCAGGTGAAAACAGTCAGGCATAGAGATTCCTCACCCATGCATAGAAAGGAAATCTGTACATAATCCACAGACAGACCACAGAGAGACTTAGAGGCCAATTTGTGTCTCTCATATGGAGGAAAACTGTTGAGTCTTTTTAAATAACTCCTCTATGGTCCAAGCCTATTTTTCCCCACTATTTTCAGGTGAATCCTATTTTTTTTTTTTTAATTTCAAATGAGAATTTGACTCAAGTTGTGTGTCAAGATACACACATCTTCCTTCTCTGCTTTACCTATTTGTTTTATTAACATAGCTATATTTAAGTATCATTTAGTATCTCCACCTCTCAGAATGTGTTTTTCAGCCATGTCAATATTTTTGTGAATAATTAAATGTGTTTGGTAATTTGGAGGTCCTAGGAGGAGAAGAGAGCTCACTTCGCAGATGCTTACTGCTTCTTTTCAGGTTTGATTTTACCTTTTTTGCTCTACTCTTTTGAGATATCACTTCTCTATCCTGGGTGGTGTTCCCAGAACCTCTCAACTTAAGGGCACTTCTGAATTAATCAACAGACTGCTTCCTGTCTTTTAGACCATTAATGACATTTTTTGAATGTAAAACTATGATATTTTTCTTTTCTATTGAGGACAAAAATATACCTATGCAAATGTATTTTAAATCGCCAGCAGGTTTCCCATTGTGCTTTCTTACCTACACAGCGCAACACAGCAAAGACCAGACTTACTACATCACAGAGAAGTACCCTGAATATCCTTAGCCCAGAATATGGCCTTGATATGGTCATTAAAAAAAACCCAACATCTAATATATATGACACAAATATGGTCTATAAATTAAACAAAGACATAGATTTTTATGTTGTTTACCTGAATAGATGAAAAATGTAATCCGCAATAATATAGGTTCTAGGTAAATACCTGTCATGTAAACTAATAGGGTCACACATGCAGATACAGAATATAGGGTTTCTTATATTCCATGCCCCCATCTTGAAAACTACCCTACAATATACACAAATCAATTGGGTGAATTTCTTTATCAGCACAAGGTAGAGTTTCAGTCAGGCTTTTAGGTTCCTTTGACATTTTAGCAATTATTATCCATGGAAAAGTTAAATTCGAATAGATCATTATTCCAAAATATTCTCTGAGACTGTTCACATCTATCTTACCTAAGAAAGTAATCGACTATTTCAGAAAAATTGCTAGACCCATAAAAATGCATCTACTGCAACAATGCATTATGTGGAAATTTTGACATGACAATCTACAAAACACCTTATTTTTACTTTGCCTTTTATCCTTATTTAATTTTTAAGTCTATCTTCTACTTACAAACAAATGGAATATACTTTTTATTGATTTGTATTTTGTTAAAGTCTAACCACCAGAGCACAATACAATGCTTAAAATATCACTTCTCTAGATCTTTCAGGGTTCTTTTTTATGTGGTCAAAAGTTCCGAAGTAAGTTTGTTGTCCCTATAAACTAGAGAATAAATCCCTCTACAATATGAACTAAAACTTATTGAAAAAATGAGCAAAAGAATAATGTGATTTCAGAACTATTCTATTATTAGTTTTACCTTTTAAAATCTTGATTTAAAGTGGTAACTTTTTTAAACAATAGGAAGTATTTAATCCATAAGACAAATATGATAAAAGTCAAAGTAGTCTCAATTTGAAGGAGCCTATGTTTCTTTTTTTTAATTAAGAAAAAAGTCACATAGGTTAATCACAGATCGCCAGGCTGTAGGGAAAAAAGAATGGTTGATCTAAATGCAGACCCAGGCTCTCAGCAATCACCAACTCAACAAAAAGTATCATGGGCTTGCATTAAGAGATGAGTTTGCTCCCATGTGTTAGGCAGGCCTGCAAAGTAAATGAGGACTCTAGGGCCATGCTAGGATAGTACGAGGATAATAAGGAAGCATCATCCACATGGAATGCTACTCCAAGACTGGGTAGTGTAGTTCAGAATTATATAACTACTGATTTTTATCTCCCAAATCAGTCTGGGCTAAAGCAGGAAAAGTGTAAAGAAATGTATTTTTAAAATCTGTAGGTATAGCCAGGAGCAGTGGTGCATGCCTGTAATTCCAGTGGTTCAGTACTCTGAGACAGGAGGATTGCAAGTTCAAGACCAGCCTCAGCAACTTAGCAAGACTTTAAGCAACTTAGTGAGATCCTGTCTCAAAATAAAATAAAATAAAATAAAAGGCCTGGGGATGTGGTTCAGTGGTAATGGGCCCCTGACTTCAATCCCCAGTACCAAAAGTAAAATAAAATAGAATAAAATGTTTGTGTTATGTGTTGCATGACTTAATAGATTGTTTGTTCAAGGAGTTCACAATGTTGTAAATTATTCTAAAATTTAGAACAGACTACACCCTGAAGAGGATGGATGCTTGTGCCACACAGAAAGGATCAGAGAGAATTTCCTCTTACTTTGGGTGAGATTTCTTGAGGTAGCTGAGGATGTAGGATTATAATAGAGACTGCCTCCTCTACAGAAAATCTTGTATGCCCTTCTTTTCCTTGGCTCCTTGTCATTCCCTTATAATACTCTGTATTACATTGGTTATTTCTATTCAACTTTACTTGTAGGTTTATTAAAGACAGTGATCTTCTTATAACTAACCTATGGAGCCCTCACTGATTAGTGGCCTAAACATCATCTGTGCAATAGATACTTGCAGAAATGTGGAACAACTACACCAAATTTAACACATTGCTATTAGGTCATATATCAGATATTCACCAATTGTCTAATAGGTAAAAACTATATTGACACCTATTTTAAAGTTGTTAAGAAATCATTAAATTATCTGATATGAAGAAAATTTTAAGAGAATTATTAAGTGTGGTATTGAAGTGAAAATGAAGAAGGAATAAATGTGCTCCTTGTCACTACAAAGGAAGTTTATCTCTGGAATGTGAGAAATGAAGAAAAGGAGGATAAAGCCCAAAAAAGTGTGCAGAAGGTTGCCCACTTTGACTATGAACCCTCAAGTACCAGGTGGGTTAACTACCTTAACTATAAAACTATTTTGTTTTATGTGTGTGTGTGTGTGTGTGTGTGTGTGTGTGTGTGTGTTTAATCAGCTTTAAAAATAACAGGAAAGGTAAGCAGACAAAATTTTAACTTCTTGATTCAGTATATCTGGATCCATAAAAGTGTCATGAAAAATCGATGCACTCATAAAAATCTTGAGCATTGGATCTCTGCAAACACTTAACACCAAGTATATTATGCAGACTTGTATGAACAGGTACATTGACAATTCCACTCACACTGCATAAGGCTGGGGATTATAATTCTAAAATGATGAATATAATTGGAGGCAAAAAAAGAAATACTAAATTCAGTTTGCACTAATAGATTACTTAATAGCATATTTACCGTCAGGGTCCATAAGGAAAGTAATACACATCGACTAGATATTAAGCCTGTTCAATTGCTACTAGACAGCTCTTCACATTTAACAAGCATTATTGGCTAAAAACATACTAAGTTAGCATTAGTATTTACCCAGACTTATCTTTGTACAAATTTCCTGTTTTTCTCAAGAGTAGAATCTTGTATGTATTGATTGATAAAAAAAACAAAACCAACAAATATATTTGACTTAATCT